GACGACGACACATGCATGTGCTGCTCTGCCATCATCTGCTGGTGCTGTTTTCTACAGATGGCCCGCTGCCTGAAGGTAACCCTCCCTCAGCTCAGCCTCCACACGTTGTCGGTCTGGCTAATTAGAACACACCATGATACATGGGATGTTCCCATAGCCACGCCACCCAATCTTCGCAATAGGGTTTGACTTTTAAGAAGTAGCCTGTGGAGTTTTCATTATAGACAAGGATGATGTTTCTTTCAATGTTTCTCATCAACAGGCAATTTGTGTACGGCCATATTGTGAATTCATGTCTGGGCAAATGTTAGTGCTGTCAATATTTCGGTATTTAAATCAAAACCAATTCTGGATTCAGTAGATAGAAAAGATTATTTCGTCATCTACAGCAGTCCACTGTTTAGCAAGTTATGGCATGAAAGCAGATTAAAGTGGGTATAATATTTTGGTTTTCACGACATCAATTCAAACAAAGACAATCAAATCTTACATTGATTGATTTTTTTTTACCTGATCCGTAATGCATGCAAGGCATCAAATCAAATAAAAACATTGCTGTTAAAGCACAACAGGAGTGAAAATAACTCCACAGCAAAGAAGAATTAATGAAATATACAACCTTCGAGCTTTCTACAGTTTGACAAGAAACCCAGACAACACTTTGTGCCTTTCTTGTGTCTGAAATAAAACTTCAAAACCTTGAAAAAGAAGAAAGACCATACAGAGAGACGAATAGACAGACACGAGGACTGCAGACCCCCCCCACCACATTTCTTCTTGCTGCAGCTGTGAAGGCCCGTCATAACAATCCTCACCATACAGCTGGAAGACTTACTGTCTCACATATATCCCCACTCAGTAGCTTCTCACTGCTATATACTAGGGATGTAACGATATATCGAATATCGCGGTAAATAAATGTCTCAATACCGTCGTGAGACTGACAAAATCTAACGCAATTCTTTTAAAATAATTGTTTGTTTTTTTTAAGCCTTTATTTAACCAGATGGAACCATTGAGATCATTGATCTCTTTTTCAAGGGAGACCTGTCCAACATGGCAGCAAGTAGGTTACAACATGAACATAAAACAAAAGATAACACAAAAGGACATTGTATTTACAGGGCTACATGTACATACCTAGAGACATTGACAAGTACCAACAGTATATTTATATCTCGCCCTGTCAATAAGCCTCACCTTCTTGGCAACAACTGTATTGTTTTTGAAGTGGTGGAGAGACAATGCACAGTTTTACCCACTGCTGTCACCCATGGCCAAAGCATATCTCTCTGTCCCAGCAACATCAGTACCAAGCAAGAGAGTCTTTTCCACAGCAGGGGATATTGTAAACCCCCAAACATCCCAGCTTCTACCTGGAAATGTGGACATGCTCATATTCCTAAAAGATAACCTTGATGATGCTGAGTGAGTGAGTTAGAGTTGAGTTACTTGAAAAACTAAAGTGAAACTTGATTTATTCTATTGCAGGGTCTGATTATTATATTTTTGACACTTTAGAATACTATTATCCTACTAAAATGCTGTACACATCAGATTTATTATTTAATAAAGAAAAACAATTTCTTTATTTTTCAATATCGAGATAATTATCATACAGTGGACTTTTTATCGCGATATTATCGTACCGTGAGTTTTTGGTATCGTTACACCCCTACTATATACAATACATCACACCAAAGCATGCTTTACAGCCTCTGAATACATTGCAAGTGTTGTGTAACACACACAATCGATATAACATGTGTCACATTCCCCAATGCACTTTGTTACTTATAGACCAAAATAATGCTTTAAATAACACGAGTAACGGACACCTAAGTGTCTTCTCGACTACCAGAGAGGAAACTAGAGAAAGACAGTAACAACTGGAGGATGAAGCAGCCAACAAATGGCCTTCAGGTAAAGTAGAAAGCAGCCATCTGAGAAGCTGACACTTATGCGCAGGGAAATTAGCTTTAACCCTCCCAAGACACATTATCTATCTTCATGCAGATAACACTCAGGCACTCCATTATAACAAAGCGAGATTAGAATTAGGTTGAGTTCCATTTCCAGATTGGTTTACAGGAACTACACAATCAAATCATTTTTCTTGATATCACCTGCAGCTGTTAGAGGAGTAGAAGTGTATACCGTTTAATTCTTTATACTTGAATAGTCACTTCTGTAGAAGACGCCTTTACTGAAGACCATGTGAAGCCCATTTGGGATAGGATAATGCAACTATGCACACAAGTAAACTCAGTTACAGTGATCAAACATATACTGTACCGGTGATGCAGACTGTCAGTGGGGACACGCGTGCCACTCATTTGTGAGCAACCAGATGAGTGACTTTTTTCTAAAATAAACCCGTCCAGCTTGATGTTTGCATTAGGAAGTGTTTGGATAAATTCCTCCATGCTATTGATAGATTGAAAAGGTCTGACGCAACTGAAGCCACGAATACACAACCAGAGACCAAACTGAATTATACGTTATCCAGACATAATGGAGCAGTCATCAGCTGCTCCACAAGGCCACAGAGCTAAATTAGCCACGTTTTACGACTCTTCCCAGAATCCCTAGATGATGTTGGTGTGTCTCATTGTAAAAATGAGCAAAATCTTTGGTTTCTTGTGCGAAAAAAAGAGAAAGATATAATCACATTAACCACCCTAGATAAAAATGTTATTTTTTCATTGAACCCGTTACAGATTCCTTACACAGTATACTCATTTTAGATAGTGTTGTAATGCAATATATTTTAAACATGTTCTTGAATTTTTCCATTATCAAAAATAACTTGCCTGAAATACATTTCAAAATTGCATGACCACAACATACTTTTTTGAAGATGTGCCGTTTTGATTCAAACACAAGCTGCATGCATGATACTTATATTTAAAATGTGTGTGTTGAATTTAGTCAATGTGTACATTTTCCACATTTTCTAAATATTTCAGCAAAAACAATGTTTTCTATTTTTTCCCCTGTTTTTTGGTGGCAACCCTATTTTAGACTTATGTTAGAGGCTCTCAGTTTATCCTACTAACATCTGGCATTTTTTTATACCAAGTAGGGGTGTCTTTAACAGCAGGGGAACAATGTCTCTAAATTGCTGCTATAATGGCAAATGCTTCTTCCAGTTCAGATTCACACTTTAACTCAAACTCCTGACAGATCCCATGCTAATAAATACAGGACATTACATAAAACAGCATAAAAAACACTTACACACATATTACACCGTAATTACACCCATGCTGTTACTCCCATGTTATACCAATGATACACCAATATCACAACCCATAATTACACTGTTATACTGTCAAAGGACAGAGGGTGTCGTATTGTAATACTGATATTCTGTACAAACTGTGAAGACCACTGAGACAAATGTAACATTTGTGATATTGGGCTATATAAATAAACATTGATTGATTGATTGATTATTACACCCACATTATGCATTAATATACCCCTATTACACCCATGTTATACCAATATTAAACCGTAATTACACTACAATTACACCCATTTTAGACATGGACACAGCCTGCCAAATGACTGTATCCCCTAGGACAGTGGTTCCCAACCTAGGGCGCCAAATATTGCAGGGGGGGCGCCAGGCCTCAGATGATTTGAGGCCAAATATCATATTTAGACTTTTTTTTTTTTTTTTTTTTTT